GGGGGGGGGGAGCGAGAGGGGGCAGGCCTCCTCGGGAGGAGGAAGGGGAGGAGGGGGAGGGGAGAGGAGGAGGAGGAGGAGGAGAGGAGGAGGAGGAGGGGGAGGACCAGGGGGAGGAGGGGGAGGAGGGGGAGAAGGATGACGATGATGATGATGATGATGATGATGATGATGATGATGATGATGATGACGATGATGATGATGATGATGATGATGATGATGATGATGATGATGACGGTGACGATGATGATGATGATGCTGATGATGATGACGGTGATGATGACGATGATGATGATGATGATGACGATGATGGTGATGGTGATGATGATGATGACGGTGATGATGATGATGATGATGGTGATGGTTATGATGACGGTGATGATGATGATGATGATGATGATGACGACGACGACGGTGATGATGACGATGATGATGATGATGACGGTGAAGATGACGATGATGATGATGATGATGACGATGATGATGATGCTGGTGATGGTGATGATGATGAGGTCTGAGGGTCCCTGGTGGCCAGACGATTCTTTACAGCGAAGCTGTGCGAATGGATCTGTTGTGTGCAAGCTCGAGCTTCGAAACACGGAGCGGCTCTCGGACCGCTTCACAACGACCCCTGAAAAATTAATTAGAGCGCAGGGTGGCACGAGGGCGGGTGCGCTTGAATGGTTGCGGAGCAAGAACGGCCATGGGACGGATCAAACTCAGACCAGGACGACACAAACATCTGGCTAGGTCTGAGGGTCCCTGGTGGCCAGACGATTCTTTACAGCGAAGCTGTGCGAATGGATCTGTTGTGTGCAAGCTCGAGCTTCGAAACACGGAGCGGCTCTCGGACCGCTTCACAACGACCCTACTGTGCCCTACCTGGCATCTGGCCGCTTCATGCCTAGAAAGAGTCTGCTGAGGAACCCTTCCGAAAGCCTCGAGGCTCCAGAGGAAATCCAAGAGCGCACCCAAGACGCGCACGGACGAGACAGGTGAGTAAAAGGCGATGGGGTGGGCGGGGTCGCGTGAGCGTGGAGGCACGGACCGCCGACTTCGTCGGGGAGCCCACACGAGAACCCCAGAGCCCACATGTTGTCGTGGTTAGCTCGTTGGCAGCCAAAAGTGCATGGGAGATCCTCGAATGCCTCCCGTCACACATGGTGAGCAGCTGTCTAAAAAGGACGGAGTGCGCGGAAGCGCTTGCTGATGGGAAAATAGCAATGCAAGGACACTTGACAGTCAGGCATTTGTGAAGAAGACGGGCTAGAATATTGCTAGCGTCAGTCTCACCGAATCTGGGCCAAATCAAGACGACTCCCCGAACACAGCGAGACGAGATCCATCCCACGAGGCGGCGGTACACGATGGCGGTAGCCAGCAGGGAGCCGTTTATCCAAGCGCTGCAGCCCGAGAGACGGGAGTCGTCGGCCCGTGCGATCTCGCCCGTCCCGAAGCCGACTTCGAGGAGGGACTGGCCAGCGGCAGCACGGCACGCGCGGGCGAGGGCCTGCAAGGCCTGTCGAACGCCAGCGCCTCCACCTTGAGAAAGCGAGGAAGCCGTGGCCGCCGCTGCTGGCCGAGGATCTGGCCTATGCTGTCCTCGACCTCCTGGGCCCACTCCGACACCTCGGCGTCGACCTTCTCGAGCTCCGCGAGGTAGCGCACGTGCCGTGAGTACCGAGCCGTGCTCTGCGCACTCGTGTGGCGCAGACGCGCCTGCAGCTCGGCCAGGGGCATGCCCTCGACCGCCGTGGCGTGCGACGCTGCGGAGTGCCGCACCTGGTACGGGATCATGTCGGGCGCGCCTGGGACCAGCGACAGCCGTCGTCGGAACTCGGTACCGAAGGTCGCTGCGCTGAACGACCACAGGGGCGACCCAACGGGCCGTGCCGCGCGGAGCAGCTTCAGGAAGTTCCCGCCTCCGCCACGCCAGGCCGCGCTCCGCAGCAGCACGCCCTCGCCCTGCGCGAGCGACTTGCTGCAGGCTGATCCCTCGATCGGGTGCAGCAACAGCGCCCAGCGGGGCTCCGCGTCGCGGCCTGGGCCCACCAGCGTGTCGACCGTCATGCCGACGAGGTCGCTCGGGAGGCGGATCATCGCGTCCCATGCGAGCGCGACCGCCCCCGCCCACTCGAAGTCCCCCTCGAGCGCGGCGATCCCGATCAGCGCCCAGACGATCGGCTTCCCGACGGGCGTCATCGGGGTGCTCCTCGAGTGCACTCGAAAGCCAGAGAGCGCGGCCCGCGCCAGCGGAAGGCCGCCGTGCCTCGGTCGCGGCACGCGCGGCAGCCTGTATTGCACGGACGCCAGCAGCCGCGAGCCCGTCTCCGCCAGCTCCCCCTCCCAGAACAGCTTGTCCAAGTAGGCCGCCAGGAGGACGTCCAGGCGGTCCGCCGTGATGTCGTCCAGCGACGGCGCGGCGGCCCAGGCCAGGAAACTGGTCACGTGGTTGTCGAAGCTGCGGATGGTGGCCTCCCGCACCTTGTGCCTCTGCAAGAAGGTCAGCCCATGCCGAGGGTCGCAGTTGGCTCCGCCGAACTTCATGACTCTGAGCTTCGCCCGATTTGCCTTCTGACGTGCCAACTCGACACGACCCGCCGCCTTCGACCGAGCTGGAGCCCGAGCTCCAGGCTTCGCGCTCGGAGGAGGTGTCTTGATCTTCCCGGCCTTCCGAGGAGCGCGAGCTCGCTGCGGTCGTGGTGGCGGCGGCGGCCTCCTCCTCGGGGTCGCACAAGTCGTGTCGCCGACGTCGGAGCAGGCCGATAGGATCGTCGTAGTGGAGACGGCGAGCCTTCTCGTCAGCGGCCGCCCGAGCGAGGCTAGCCCAGGCCGTGCCAACATTCCGCGGGTCGGTTGCAAAGGGAGTCGGCTGGCCCGTCACGGTGCGTGAGCCTTTGTCTGAGGTGTTCCACTCCGAAGGTAGCCATCTCACGGCTACGGACATGTCGTGAATGACGCTGTAGCTGCACAACTCTCTGCAGGTCTGATTGATCAAAGGGGATGCGGACCGACCTTTTTCCACTCCCAGTACCAGAGAAAGGTTATCATTAAGCATGAGGTGAAGATGACCCCGAGACCGCAGGGCGCGCATCTTGTGGCGCACGCCCAGCGCGAGGGCACGCCCCTCGAGCCTCAGGATGTTCTCCTCGCGGCACCAGCGGCCGAAGGTCACGTTCCGCCAGGTCTCCATCGGGAAGACGACGTCCGAGCTCACAGTGGCAAAGGACATCCCGTCGAATGGAGCCTCCGAGGTGTCGCGAGCGGCAAAGGCGAACTCCCGAGCGTGCAGGGCCCCCTCCACGTGGTACCGCCACCGCTCGCGAACCCGAGCTGTCTCCAACACCAGCTGCTGCCCGAGCTCCCGCTTGGTGACCCCGTAGCCGCCGTACAAGCTGCCCGCGGGGTCGAGGTCGCCCGTGCTAGCGTCGGTGGAGTAGGCCGTCGAGTCCACGGGCCGCTTCGCATCGTAGTAGGCGAAGGGCACGAGAGCGGCGGCGACTCGCAGCTCGCGAATCACCTCGGGCCATATCCTCCAGCGGTTGTCACCCGCCTTCTTGATGAACCGGTACGTCGACTGGAAGATGCACAGGAGTGGTCGACGGAGAAGGGCCGCCCAGTTGAAGTGTCCGACCAGGCTGGCCAGCTCCTTTCCCGTGGCGTAACGCTGGGATGCCTGGCACAGCAGCGCCTGGCGGATCTTCCACATCCGCGATCGGCCGAGCGATATCCTTCCAGACTCTCTGTCGAAGATCAGACCTGTGAACTTCTGGTGCTCGCTCGGCAGCTCCATCTCCTTGCACTTGAGGCCCGCCGTGTTGAAAGCGCCGTGCACAGTCTCCAGCTGAGAGACGACCTCGTCGTACTTGGAGCCGATCACGGCGACGCCGTCGACGTAGGCGGCGGCGACGGTCTCGCTCTCGAGGTCGGGAATCACCTTCCTCTCGTGGACGAGCCTGTGGTCACCGATGCCTACCGTCCTCAGCATACCCTCAACGGCGTGCTGGCAGAAGAACAAGCTCCAGTTCCAGCCCATGGGCAGCACCTTCAGACAAGGCGAACACCTGCGGCCGACGATGCCGTCGAGTGTGCCGCTCGGCAGCACGTTGGCAAGAGCACCGCGATCGATACTCGGAAGAACCATCAGCTCGCTCAGACCAGGCGGTGCAAGGAAGCGATAGAAGGCTGCCTCGATGTCACACTGACCGAGGAAGAGGCTGCTGTCGGCCCCGAGCCGTAGGCTCTGCCAGCTGCCTGCCGTCGGCAGCTCGGCGACGTCGGGGTCATAAAACATACGATTGACACGCCGGGTGTCCAGAACCATCCGCTGCTGGCCGCTCCCGTCCCGCTTGGCGACGAAGAACGGCGCGAGCGTGTGCTTGGGCTCGCTGGTGAATTCGATCATGCCCGCATTGAACAAATCGTGCAAAAAACTGGCGTAGAGCCTCGGCGAGCTCTTCAACCTGGCGTCGAAGTGAGGTGGTACATTGGCAAGCCACTCCTTACGAGGGCGCAAGAGATGCTTCTCCCAGTCCTGCCACAAGTCGCGCACGGACTCCGACAACAGGTAGGCGGGCTCGCACTTCCTGGAGTCCGAAGGCACCGCGACGCTCCCTTCGGTGAACAGAACCGCTTTCGCTGGGGACATGTCGCACCCAGGAGAACAACCACGCAGCTCAGTGTAGGCCGCCGTGGGACTGACATCAGGCGGCCCGAACTCCAACAGGTGGCCGTAGAGCGACTCGATGCCAGTGAGCTGCGCCGCCGATAGCTTGTCGAACCCGTCGCCGCCCAGGCGCCCGTTGAGGAAGTTGAGCGCCGCGACGACCTCGCAGGTCCACAGCTCGACGGCCAGCTGCTGGCGGCCCCGACTCCGCCGACCTCGGGAATTTGAAAAACATGCATTGTGGTTGCGCCGCTCGAAGTGCGCAGTCGCCAGGTCCAGCGGGATCGGGAGGATGTCCCGCTGGACCACCATGATCGTGAAGTGGAAGGGAGCGTCAGCCCCCCTCCCCGCCAGCGGCGGCACCTCCACGGCCCTTTCCCTTAGGGTCCGACTTGGGTCCACCCGCCAACTGCTTCTTCAACTTCTCGATCTCCGACTTCTGCCGATCGACGGTGCTCTGCATCCCTGAGAGACGCGCCCGCCCGTCACCGCCGCCGCCACCACCGTGTGCGTCGTCCCCCCGCGAGGCCATCCGCTCCTCCTTCAGCTTCCGCCGCTCCTTGAGGACGAGGCTCTCCTTGTGGAGCTCGTCCGTCACGAACGCGAGCAGCTTCGGCGAGATGCAGACCAGCCCGCGGGTCTCGCCCGTCCCGAGGTACAGGTGCGAGTCCTCGAGCAGCTCGTCACCTCGGGACGTCGTGAGAATCCTCTCGCGATGGCGGTACTCGGCCATCTGGAGTCGGCGGCACACCAGCTCCGCACACGACAGCTCGCTGCCATTGAGCTGATCGTACGTCAGCAGCAGGTGCATGATGCGGCAGCAGAGCTCGTGGACGGAGACGTCCTGGTCCGAGGATGACAGCCCCGTCTCGGCCTTGAACTTGGCGTGCCGAGATCTGAATGTCACGTCATTCTCTCGCACGAACTCACACACCCACTTCACGGTGCGGGGCCCACTGATCGGGAAGAAGTCCCAGTGCGTCTCGGTGAGCTCCGCCACGGCCTCACGCATCCCGAGGAAACGCTCCGTGGCGTTGGCCCGCAGCGCGAGCACGCGCGCGTCGAGCTCGTCGCCACCGTCAGGAGGGAGAGCCCGCACCAACATCGTGCGGCCCCCCTTCATCGCCATGCCGAACCCCGACGCGAGCACGAAGGCGTCGAGATCCTCGTCGGGCAGCAGCCCCCTCCCCCCACCGTCGCTCGAGGCGATGCAGCGCCAACGCGACGGCGAGGGGTCAGGGAGGCGTCCGCGGCCGAGGCCCCACTCACTCGGAATCTCCGCCGAGGCCAAGGCCGATCCTGAAGGCGGTCTCGCCGCCGCTGGCCTCGCCTCCGCCTCGGGCTCCTCGGGGGCTCCAGCCGACACCACCGCCGTCTCCAGCACCTCGTCGAGCGATTGCCCCAAGACGAACCGCAACTGCAACGCGAAGGCCGCGGGGCTCATGACCCAGTCCCTGCCGTACGTGCCGACGCCCACCGGGTTGGCCCCTTCTCTGTTGAGCAGCTGCCTCCGATCCCTCATGTCGTATGGCACGATGATGCGCAGCGCCTGGACCGTCAGCTCGTGAGGGTAGACGTCTCCGTCGGGCGTCGCCATATACCACAACCTCCCGTCCTCCTCGGCTTTCTCGCTCGGAGCTAGACTCGTCACTTCCTGATAGTCGGTCGGCGTGCACGGCGCGACGGCGACGCGAGCTTGCAGGCTCTCGCCACCGCGCCACTGGATGTCGAACCGCTGTCCTGCACGAACTTGGAACGGCATAGCGTCCAATGAACACCCCGACGAGGAACGATGCGATGGAGAGCAGAGCCGCGCCCCACTTCAGCGAGCCGACCAAGCCGTACGCGACCGCACACTCGGTCGCGTTGCCGAGGGTGCTCTCCACGATACCCCAGGCCTTGTCAGACACGATCCAGGAGCCGACGCGGGCGAGGCCGAACGCCACGGCGGACAGAGGCATGAAGCGGCCGCTGTCTTTGTTTGCGCTTGAATGGTTGCGGAGCAAGAACGGCCATGGGACGGATCAAACTCAGACCAGGACGACACAAACATCTGGCTATGATGCTGATGCTGATGATGCAGAGGATGCTGATGCTGAGGCTGATGATGATGAGGAGGAGCAGGAGGAGGAGGAGGAGGTAGGGGCCTCTCAGAATCCTCTGGCCTACTGATAACGTTTATTGTGTTTTCGAAGGCACGCCCAACTTGCTTCTGGAGGGTTCCCCCCGTCGTTCGACCGGCATCTGACCTTTCCTGCGGCCGCAGTCCACAACAAAAAGAAACAGTACCTTCCAGGGAGGTTTCGAAAACTTCTCCGAGGGCCCACGGCCTTCTGAGCCTTCCAAGAAGGCCCGCTCCCTCTCGCGTTTCCCTCCTGGGCTCGTCGCCGAGCGGAAGGACAGGGCTCCCCCCCATTTGGGCGACGAAAAGAAGCGGACGTGACGCGAGATGGCATTGCGACCTCACGCGGTGGCCTACGCGGGCTGCCAGCACGGCGCGCTGCATTGGAGGCGAGGGCGCTTACGCACGCGCGACCTTACGCGGGCAGCTAACGTGCCAATGCCGGTGAAGACGAACCCGTTTTTTGTTTTTTTTGCTACGCTCGCTGTATTCCTCAACGGAATGAACCGATAACCCCTGGGTCGCATCAGGCATGCAACTTTTCACGGACCATGCAGCAAATCCACCACCTCCAAAGATGTCGCAGGGCTCCCCCTCCAGACCCTCTTCGGATCATGAAACAACCACGGCGGGAGGTCCTTGGCAATTCGTTCGGCGTCTACGCGGGAGAGCCCAGAATCGAACCGAGAAGTCGCATCGGCAATCGAAATGAATCGCATCGACGGACATCGGCAGCCGAGTCGGGAAAAGTCGAATCGGCGGAAATCGGCAGGCTAGTATGACTCCAATAAGAAATCGGGACCCAAATCTGAATCCAAAGCCGAATCGAATCGGAATCGGAAGCCATCGAAATCGAATCGAATCGAATCGGAGGAATCGAAATGAACCCTGTCTATGGGAGTCCTCAGATGGTCCTCGGGGCCGTCCAAAAAGACTGCCAGGATGCGAAGCCGGTTCCGGGAAGTGGACATCCACCAAACCGCCCCAAATCAACCCGAAGTCGCAGCTGGGCCTGCCAATCTCCAGTGGGGGGACGTTCTGGAACACATAATGGAACCCGTACGCACCCCAACCCGAACTGGAAGCCGGCGGTAAACCGTCAACCTTGGTTGCCGCCGGGAACTCGTAGAGCCTCCTTGCCATATATAGATATATGGATGGCATGCGAGCGCGGCAATCTTGCATTCAGCGCGCGCGAGGGTGTGCGGTTTCATAGAAATGTGCTGGACAGCTCCTTGCTTGTCCACAACTCGATTTCAATTGAGACAAACACCCACGCAAGAAAGTACAAAGCTGAACAGGTGTATCCATAATGTGTGTAAATATGAAGACGCTCTCGTCACGTGGACAGCATGCGAGCTTGGTAGCTGTTTTCACAGCACAAATAGTTTATTGGTCGCAGCTCTGGTAGCGGACCGATCTCAGACGTCTCAATACTGCTGACGCGCGCCCGTGAAAATCTATTCGAACAGTCTGCTTCCCAGCGTCGTAGCTCGCCTGCGGCTCGAATTAGTAGAGAAAACCAACACAGCTTATCGAACATTTCAAGAGCGCAAACAGCTGTTTATTGGCAACTCTGGTAGCAGGCCGATCTCATCCGTTTAAATGCTTTAGACTAGCGCTTCCCAGCATCTCCTGTCGATTGATGTATATCTCAGCTCCGTAGCTCACCTACAGCTCGAATGAAATACAGAAAATCGACATCATCTCTCACCAAAAAATGCACAGTGCGAGTAGTGTTGCAGCTAGTAGCGGACAAATTTCAGACGTCTCGATGCTGTAGGCTATGTGTCTCATGATTTCCTGTTGAACGATGTGCCTCCCAGCTCCCTAGCTTGCCTACAACTCGAATTAAATACAGCAAAGCAACACCGTCTCTCACGAAAATGAAAGAGCGCAAATAAGTCACAGCTCTGGTAACAAACCGATCTTAGGCGTCTAGATACTTTAGACGGATGCTTCTCGGCATTTCCTTCGATTGGTGTGCATCTAAGCTCCGTAGCTGGCCTACATCTAGACTTGAATGGATGAAGCGCACATCATCTCTCGAAAAATATTTACATTGCAAGCTGTCGCAACTCTGGTTCCAGGCCGATTTCAAACGTCTCGATACTGTCGGCGGATGTGCCTGGTGATTTCTTGTTTGGAGATCCGCTACCCACCTCCGTAGCCAGCCTGCAGCTCGAATAAAGTAGAGACAGCTAACATCATCACTTAAAACATTAGCAGAGTACGAATCGCTAAATTTTTCCAGTTCTGGTAGTAGAACGGCCTTTGCCATCTATATACTTCAGACTAGCACTCCTGCTGCTTTTCTTCCGATTGCTGTGCCGAGCAGCTCTGTAGCTCATCTACAGCTCGAGTTAATTTCAGAAAACCGACAGCATCTGCCAAGACGACACTCAACAGCCGATCCCGACAATGCGTTTTTTTTTTTTTTTTTTTTTTTTTTTTTTTTTTTTTTTTTTTTTTTTTTTTTTTTTTTTTTTTATATATTATTTATTATAATATATATTATATATATATATAATATATATATATATATATGATAGTATCCACCCGATCGACCTGATATCAAGATGGTGAGCAATATCAAGATCGAATATGGGGAACATTAGATCTCTAACGGGTGGTGGGATTTCGAGGAAAACTAATTTTTATCATACCGAGCATATGCAAAACTTCGGTCGAGATTTTTGGAGTCAACTAGCCCGCCAGCGCGCCAGAATTACTCATAAGCTTCGCCGCTCCGCTCTTGGCGAAACTCTGCGAGTCACTTTGAGGGGATCTGGGACCTCCGGGCTGGTTTGGGGGATGTGGTAAGTAGCGGTGGAAGGGGGGCCACGCTACGCGTGGAGAGGCCACGGCGTCGGGGGCCGTGCCCTGAAGAACGGCGAAGACGCGAAGGGTGGACGAGGAGGGAGGAGGAGAAGGAAGAGGAGGAGGAGGAAGAGGAGGAGGAGGAGGAGGAGGAGGAGGAGGAGGAGGAGGGGGGGGAGGGGGGGGAGGAGGTAGAGGAGGAGGAAGAGGAGGAGGAGGAGGAAGAGGAGGAGGAGGAGGGAAAGGGGGTCACGCCATACATAAAACACGGCGTCGTGACTTCTGGGGGGGCCACGCCGCGCAGAGGCCGCAGCGTCAGCGGCCCGGCGGCCCGTTTGCGCCGAGGAGAATGGCGTCGCGAGCACATATCTCAAACGGTGACCCCTTCCCCTGCCCCTCCTCCTCCTCCTCCTCCTCCTCCTCCTCCTCCTCCTCCTCCCGCTCACCTCCCTCCTCTCCTCCTCCTCCTCCCTCCTCTCCTCCTCCCCTCCGCCCCGCCCCTCTCCACCTCCCCCTCCTCCTCCTCCTCCTCCTCCTCCCTCCTCCAACTCAACTCCACTCCAACTCCTCCTCAACTCCAACTCCTCCTCCTCCTCCTCCTCCTCCTCCTCCTTCTCCTCCTCTCATTCTCCTCCTCCTTCCTCCTGCTCCTCCCCCCTCCTGCTCCTCTTTTTCCCCCTCCCCCTCCTCCTCCTTTTCCTTTTCCTCCTCCTCCTCCTCCTCCTCCTCCTCCTCCTCCTCCTCCTCCTCCTCCTCCTCCTTCTCCTCCTCCTCCTCCTCCTCCTGCGGCGCGCGCGGGTCTCCCGCGGGCGGGCGCTCTGTGGTCGGGGGCCGGCGCAACCCCCCCAACCCAGGATGCGGCCCACCGCTCGGCGGCGAGCCGCCCCCGAGGAGGAGAGGGCGCGCCGGCCGGAGCCCACGCCTCGCTTACCCGGGAGCGCCAGGGGGACCAGCAGGAACCGGTAGTGGCTCGCGAGCGCAGCGCCCCGCCCTCCGGGCGGCCGCGCCAGCCGCGCCCGCTCGCTGCCGCCCCCGCTGCGAGCGGGCCGGCCGCGGCGCCGCCCGGCAGCGCCGCGGCGTCCAGCACCGGCGGCGGCGCAGGGGCCGCCGCGGGCCGCGGGCCAGGTGTTTGTGACGTTGGATGTCTGAATCCCCCCCCACCTGACCCAATGCGCGCCCGCGGCGGCCGCGCCGCAGCGTCCGCGGCGCGGGGTGGCCGCTGGGCAGCGCCGGCGGCCGCGGCGGCGGCGGGGGGCCGGGCCAGCCTCCGCCAGCGTCTCAGCGGCGGTCGCCCAGCAGGGCGCGCGGCTCGGGGCGGCCAGGCGGCGCGCAAGAGCGGGCGCGCCCCCCTGCAGCCCGTCGGCCTAGCCGGGGGCGCTCAGCCTGGCAAGGGCAGCGCCGCCGCAGGCCCGGCGCTGAGTCTGGCGCGGCGCTCGGGCGGGGCGGGGCCGTCGGGGCCCGGCAGGCGGCGCGCCGCGCCAGCGGCCAGGGTGGCCGTGCGGTGAGCCTCGGCGTTGCCGCGCTGCAGAGCGGCGGCCAGGCTCTGGCGCGCCGCCGTCAGCGTCGCCGGGTCGCCCGCCGCCCAAGTCCGCAGGAGCGCCCGCGCCTCCTTCCCGGCTCGGCCCTGCGCCTCCAAAGCGAAGGCGACCAGGGCCGGGCCCGGGCAGCGCCTGTGCTTGCGGGCCTCCGCCGCCGCCGCCGCGGCCCCGTCGCGCGCGGCGCGGCTTCGCCCGGCTGTGCCCGCGCCCAGGGCCGCGTCGGTGATCACCACGTCGGCGTAGGTGACCCCGGCGACCGGGTCGGTGAAGGCCACGTCCAGCCGCGCGGCCTCGAGGGCGCCGTCCGGGCGCGGCCTGTCCCAGGCGGGGGCGAATTGCTCCGTCCTCACGCCTGTGGCGCCCCGCTCCGCTAGCCAGCGCGCGAGCCAGTCCCGGACGCCGTCGTGCTTCAGCACAGTGCCGCCCCCGATTGGGCAACCCAGGGGATGCCCGGGGTCTGCGCGCAGGTCAGCCCCGCAGCAGGAGCCGTCGGGGCGGCGCCGGAGGCAGGTTGCGCTGGCCCCCGGCGGCAGCGGTAGGCGGAGCCGCAAGGCCAGCGCCGGGCGGAAGTGCTCGTCCGCCAAGACGTGGTCCGGCTCTGTGGGCGGGAGGAGCCAGCTCCCGGCGCCTTTCCCGCTGGCCGAGCGGAGGCTCGCCTGCTCTGGCGGCGGCAGGGAGGCGAGCAGGAGAGCGCGGCGCCGCTCCTGTGCCGGCCTCGTGAGGCGCCGCTGCGCTTTCGCCTCGCGCTCCGTTGCCGCGCGGAGCCAGTCCGCGGCGCTCGGGCCAGCCAGGCGCCCCGCCTCTCTCGCCGTCGTCCAGGTCCGGGGGCAGGCCGCGGCGAAGGCCTCGAGGCTCGGAAGGCCGAGCTCGCGGCGCACCTCGGCCAGACACGCCAGCCAGGAACCCACGAAGGCGGGCAGGCGGCGCTCCCCGAGGCTGTGCAAGCCGAGCCCCCCGTCTGCCAGGGGGAGGCAGGCCTGCTCGCGCGCCGCCGCGGTCAGGGTCTGCCCAGTCACGCTTTCCAGGTGCCCCAGGGCCCGAGCGTCGTAGTCGGCGCACCAGGCCTCGCTGAGCAAGTGCGCGCGAGCGTGGTGCAGGGCAGCACCGTTCGCAAAGGTGCGAAGGAGCGTCAGCTCGTCCTGCGCCCTCAAGCCGTGCTTGCGCAAGGTCTCGAGGGCCGTCAAGTAGGCCGCCAGGTGCCGGGTCGCCGTCTCCGGCGCGGCCGCCGCGCCGAAGCTGGTCGCCGCCGCGTCGTGGTCGTCGCCGAGGCCCTCGGCTGCGGCCCCGCCGAGGAAGGGCAGGCGGCTGCCCACGCACGTGAGCTCGGGTGTCTCCGCTGCGGCAAGGGTCGCAGGCAGCTGCAGGTTGTGCAGGTTCCACGCCTTGGTTTTGTCCCCGTTCAGGCGGAGTCCGCGCGCCGCGTAGAGTCCCGGCGCGGCTGCTGCGGCCGCAGCGAGTTCCTCCAGCGTTCCCACGAGGTAGACGTCGTCCAGGTACGCCACCACGATGGCGCTCGTGTCCCGCCGCAGCGCGTGCGCCAAGTCCTCGTAAAGGGTCGCCGTGGCCGTGGCGAAAAAGGCCAGCGAGAGGGGGCAGCCCTGGTCGAGCCCCCGCTCTGCTGTCACCGCGGTGACAGCGCCAGAGAGGTGCGCGCCGTGCGTGGTGTTCCCTCCGTACCACGCGGCTGCGAGGCGCGCGAGGGGCGGGAGCCTGCTCGTGACCTCGCGGGTGACGACGTCCCGGTCCACCTCGTTGAAGGCGTTTGCCACGTCCAGCGACAAAACCGCCCTCTGTGGTGATGCCTCCACGGCGCCGGCCACCACCTTGTGCATCAGCTCGACGCCGTTGCGCCGCCCAACGCCGTACTGGCGCGGACCCACCGCCTGGGCGATGATCTCCTTGTGCTGCGTCGTCGCCGCCTTCGCCGCCATGCGGCGCAGCGTCTCCCCGCAGGCGAGGGGCCGCACCCCGCCCTGTGGCTTCTGAAGCGGGATCAGGCGGCCGCCCAACAGCGCCTGCGCTGCCGACGCGGGCGCCTCGCCGCGCAGGAGACAGCCCAGCACCTCCACGAGCGCCGCCTTGCCTTCCGCGTGGCCCCGTAGGGTTGCCCAGTGCTCGAAGCGCGCACCGGTGAGCCCCGGGCCGGAGTGCCGCAGAAACTTCTTGAGGGATCACGCCACTTCCTCTGCAGCTGCCTCCTCCCAGTCGTCCGCCTGCGGCGGCGGCGGCGCGCGTGCCCGTGGCCCGCCTGCCGGAGGGAAGAGCGCGGTGAGCTGGGAGCCCGCGCCGGCCCCAGTGGCCAGTTTCCCAGGGCCCCCGGCGGCCGCGGCGGCCCGGGACACCTCCCCAAGCATCAGCAGCTCGTGCACCCGGCGGGCCTGCGCCGCCAGGTCTGGCGGGCGTCGGCCGCCTCCGTCGCCGTCGCCAGGGCGCGCCGTCGCCGCCCAGAGGCCGGCCCAGTCGCCCGCCCACGCCTGCCGGATCCTCGCGGTAAGAACCTTCGTGGCAGACGCGGCCTCCTGTTCGTCATCACCCCCGGGAGGGATGGCAAAGAGCAGGCGCGGCAAAAGCAGCAGTCGCGTCCAAGCGCCCCCCCGGGCTGGCTGCGCAGCGACCGCCTTGAGTGCGGCTGCCAGCAAGTCGCCCGCGGCTGCCGTGAGGCTGTCAGGGACAGCCGTCCAGGTCGGCACTGGCTCGCGGAGTGCGCCTGCTAGGTCCAGAGCGTCCCACCACGGGAGCCCAGGGAGCTCGCCCCTCTCAGCCGCCACCGTGTGGCGGGACTCCAGGTCGCCCGCTGGCGTGTGGTCGTCTGCCTGCGTGTTTGCCGCCCCGCCAGCGCCAACTGCCCGTGGGCCCGCGGCCGCCGCCTCAGCCGCGAAAATCAACGTGTTGGTCCACGGGCACGAGCGAGGCAGGCACCAGTCAACATTGGGAGGGCGCTCCAGAAACTAGCTGTGTGGACGCGGAGGAGGAGGAGGAGGAGGAGGAGGAGGAGGAGGAGGAGGAGGACGAGGAGGAGGAGGAGGAGGAGGAGGAGGACGAGGAGGAGGAGGAGGACGACGAGAGGAGGAGGACGAGGAGGAGGAGGAGGAGGAGGAGGAGGAGGAGGAGGAAAAGGAGGAGGAGGGGGAGGGGGATGAAGAGGAGCAGGAGGAGGTGGTGGAGGAGGTGGAGGAGGAGGAGGAGGAGGAGGAGGAGGAGGAGGAGGAGGGGAAGGAGCAGGAGGAGGAGGGAGGCGGCGGAGGCGGAGGAGGAGGGAGGAGGAGAGGAGGAGGAGGAGGAGGAGGAGGAGGAGGAGGAGGAGGAGGAGGGGGACGGGGAGAGGGAGGAGCCCAGCGTAGCAAGGGGATCCTCGTCCTAGCCTCATCCAGGGCCCATCGCCTCCTCGGGCGGGGCAGGGGCGGGCGATCCTCGGCAAGGAGGAGGAGAGGTGGGGAGGGGGGGGAGGGGGGAGGAGGAGGAGGAGGAGGAGGAGGAGGAGGAGGAGGAGGAGGAGGAGGAGGAGGAGGAGGAGGAGGAGGACGAGGAGGAGGAGGAGGAGGAGGAGGAGGAGGAGGAGGAGGAGGAGGAGGAGGAGGAGGAGTTGGAGGAGGCCGCGCATCGGACAAAGCAGGCTGTCGAGTGTCTGCGAAGAGAGGGGCCAGCGAAACACGGCCCGAGGCACGTGCGCGGACGAGGGGGGGGGGGCAGGGAGCACATTGGAAGAAGAAGAAGAAGAAGAAGAAACATAAGAGGGGGTCACAAGTCGGGAAGCCATCACGGCCCCTGGCATGACATCCACACACACACACTCACACACACACACTCACACACAGGCACACACACCAACCACACACCACCACACAAATCACACACACACACCACACACAGACACACACACACACCTACACACCTGGTCCTCACCCCACGCTTGGCCTCTCGGACGCCCCCGAACGACTCCCAGAACGCGTGATGGCGCCAATGTGAGCTTGTACATCGGATTCCTTTGGGGCGTCGCGGGTGGTGCAATGAGGGCCGGCACGGGCTGCGTGCCATGGGCAGAGCTGACCAGCATGAATACACTCTGGGCTAACTCACATCCTCAGACATCCGACGACATGTTTTTCTCAACCCTCCTTGGTTTGGTACTCGTTTTGAATAGAGCACTGCTCGCGCGTCCTTGCTCCCGCCTCCCTCTTGTCTCATCTTGCCTTGTGCGTACTTCTTGTGTGTGCATCTTGCCTGCGGTACCTCTTGTGTGTGCATCTTGCTTGGGGGGCTGCGATCTGCAAAACTGTCGCCGCTTTCGAGGGCTGCTTGTGGGTCCAGCGGAGTGCGGCACCGCGCGGATCTGAGCGAGACCTCCCCGCCCCTGGGTGGCTGCGATCTGCGAAACTGTCGCCCCTTTCGAATGCTGCTTGTGGGTCCTGCGGAGTGAGGCACCGCGCGGATCTGAGCGAGACCTCTCCGTCCCTGGGGGGCTGCGATCTGCGAAACTGTTGGAGGGGCGAGGCGGAGGGGAAGGGTCTAATGGTCCTATTTTGGGTTTTTTCCCTTGGGTTCTTGTATGTTTTTTCGGATTCTCCCTCCAGGCGGCCGAAGAGCGCTTCACGAGAGCCCAAGACCGTTCAAGACGGCCCAAGAGGTCCCCAAGAGGCCCCCAAGAGGCGTCCAAGGGGCGTCCCAAGCTGCTGGTGGGTCCAGTGGAGTGAGGCACCGCACGGATCTGAGCGAGACCTCCCCGTCCCTGGGGGGCTGGGGCTGCGATCTGCGAAATTGCCGCCACTTTCGAGGGCTGCTGGTGGATCCAGCGGAGTGAGGCACCACGTAGATCTGAGCGAGACCCCCCCGTCCCTGGGGGGCTGCGATCTGCGAAATTGTCGCCCCATTCGAGGGCTGCTGGTGGGTCCAGCAGAGTGAGGCACCGATCGGGTCTGAGCGAGACCTCCCCGTCCCTGGGGGGCTGCGATCAGCGAAACTGTCGTCCCTTTGGAAAGCTGCTGGCGGGTCCAGCGGAGTGAAGCACCGCGCGGATCTGAGCGAGACCTCCCCGCCCCTGGGGGGCTGCGATCAGCGAAACTGTCATCCCTTTGGAGGGCTGCTGGTGGGTCCAGCGGAGTGAGGCACCGTGCGGATCTGAGCGAGACCTCCCTGTCCCTGGGGGGCTGCGATCAGCGAAACTGTCATCCCTTTGGAGGGCCGCTGGTGGGTCCAGCGGAGAAAGGCACCGCGCGGATCTGAGCGAGACCTCCCTGTCCCTGGGGGGCTGCGATCTGCAAAACTGTCGCCACTTTCGAGGGCTGCTGGTGGATCCAGCGGAGTGAGGCACCACGTGGATCTGAGCGAGACCTCCCCATCCCTGGGGGCTGCGATCAGCGAAACCGTCGCCCCTTTCGTGGGCTGCTGGTGGGTCCAGCGGGATGAGGCACCGCGCTGACCTGAGCGAGACCTCGCCGTCCCTGGGGGGCTGCGATCTGCGAAACCGTCGCCACTTTCGAGGGCTGTTGTTGGGCTCGCCACGTTCGAGGGCTGCTGGTGGGTCCAGCGGAGAACGGCACCGCGCGGATCTGAGCGAGACCTTCCCGTCCTTGGGGGGCTGCGATCTGTTAAATTGTCGCCGCTTTCGAGGGCTGCTGGTGGGCCCAGCGGAGTGAGGCACCACGCGGATCTGAGTGAGACGTCTCCGTCCCTGGGTGGCTGCGATCAGCGAAAGTGTCGCCCCATTCGAGGGCTGCTGGTGGGTCCAGCGGGATGAAGCACCGCGCAAACCTGAGCGAGACCTCGCCGGCTCTGGGCTGCGATCTGCAAAACTGTCGCCACTTTCGAGGGCGGTTGTTGGGCTCGCCACGCTCGAAGGCTTCTGGTGGATCCAGCGGAGTGAGGCACCACGTGGATCTGAGCGAGACCTCCCCGTCCCTGGGGGGCTGCGATCAGCGAAACTGTCGCCCCTTTCGAGGGCTGCTGGTGGGTCCAGCGGAATGAGGCACCGCGCAGACCTGAGCGAGACCTCGCCGTCCCTGGGGGGCTGCGATCTGCGAAACTGTCGCCACTTTCGAGGGCGGTTGTTGGGCTCGCCCCTTTCGAGGGCTGCTGGCGGGTCCAGCGGAGTGATGCACTACGCAGACTTGAGCGGGACCTCGCCGTCCCTGGGGGCCATGTCATGTTGTTGCTGCCTCGACGACGTTTCAAGCCCCTGGCCCACAGTTTCCTTTTGGACCTTGCGCCTTCCTTAGTGACTCAAGGGTTCATTTAGTTATTCACCGCTTTTCCCAACCATCCTGTGGTGTTGGGTCCTTGATTTGAAGAAACGGTCCGCGCGTTCCTTCCTCCTCCCGCTGCCCTCCTCCCTCCTCCCCCTCCCCCATCTTCCCTCCTTCCTGAGTTTCATCCACTCAGTACAACGCTTCGTGGCCCCATGAGGAGCTCCACCGAAGGTTCCTGTGGGACCGCCCGCATGCGCCAACCACCACCCAGGACAGCCCTTCCTCCCTGCGTTTCACCCACCCCGTACAGCGCTTCGTGGCCCCATAGGGAGCTCCACCGAAGGTCCCAGTGTGACCGCCGCATGCGTCAACCACCACCCAACACTGCCCTCCCTCTGCGTTTCACTCATCCAGTACAACGGTTCGTGGCCCCATAGGGAGCTGCACCGAATGTCCCAATAGGACCGCCTGCATGCGTCAACCACCACGCAGCACAGCCCGTCCTCCGTGCGCAGCACTTACCCAATACACCGTTTCGTGGCCCCATTGGGAGCTCCACCGATGGTCCCAGTGCGACCGCCCGCATGCGTTAACCACCACCCAACACAGCCCTTCCTCCCTGCGTTTCACCCACCCAGTACAGCGTTTCGTGGCCCTCCACCGAAGGTCCCCAGTGGGACCACCCGCCTGCGTCAACCACCACCCAGCACAGCCCTTCCTCCCTGCGTTTCACCCACCCATTGCAACGTTTCGGGGTCCCATAGGGAGTTCCACCGATGGTCCCAGTGGGACCGCCCGCATGCGTCAACCACCACCCAGCACTGCCCTCCCTCTCTGCGTTTCACCCACCCAGTACAGCGCTTCGTGGCCCCATAGGGAGCTCCACCGAAGGTACCAGTTGGACCGCCCGCATGCGTCAACCACCACCCAGCACAATCCTTCCTCCATGCGTTTCGCCCACCCAGCACAGCCTTCCGTGTCCTCATATGGAGCTCCACCGAAGGTCCCAGCGAGACCGTCCGCGTGCGTCAACCACCACCCAGCACAGCCCTTCCTCTCTGCGTTTCAACCGCCCAATACAACATTTCGTGGCCCCATAGGGGGCTCCACCGGAGGTCACATTGGGGCCACCCGCCTGCGTCAGCCACCACCCAGCACAGCCATTCTTCCAACCCAGTGCAGCGTTTCGTGGCCCCATCGGGAGCTCCACCGAAGGCCCCAGTGGCACCGCCCGCATGCGTCAGCCACCACCCAGTACAGCGTTTCGTGGCCCCATGGGGAGCTCCACCGATGGTCCCAGCTGGACCGCCCGAGTGCGTCAGCCAGTATCCAGTCCAGCGTGTGGCCCCATAGGGAGCTCCGCAGAAAGACCCCGGTGGCACCGCGCGCATGCGTCGTCCACGACCCAGTACTCCATTTCGCGGCCCCATTGCTTGGGAGCTCCACCAACCTTCAGTGGCACCGCCCGCATGCGTCCCGCCCACCCGGTATAGCGTTTTGTGGCCCCGTAGAGACCTTTAGTGGTCCGCCCGCATGCGACCCCCCACCCAGTGCAGCGCTTCGTGGCCCACAGGGAGTTCTACCGAAGGCCCCAATGGCACCGCCCGCATGCGTCCCCCCTCCCAGTACAGCGCTTCGTGGCCCCATAAGGCGCCCCACC